AATTTAGATTTCTTTAACATGAAAAGATACATGAAAAGAACTTTGTGAAGTAAAAATATAGATCTGAAAATAATTTTCTTGGACAAAGAGGATAATTATGTGGGACAAATTAATTATTAGAATGTTAAAACTTTTTGGAGCGTTGCTTATCCTACGTAATTATTTTGACAGTCCAACAGAATTATTTTCAGATTTGTATCTAGTTAAATTCTTAAATACTTCAGTAAAACCTTTCTTTCCATGTGGTAGAGGTTCGAAGAAAAGAAAGGTGAAGGGCAAGATATCCTCACATTACGTGTCTGTGGGACATTACGTATGTAATGTTAGCCACTTGGGAAGGACAGCAAGGGCAGTCCGGTAAGGACACTCCACCGGATCGAAGTCATCTCCACGTGCATCACGTTGTTGCGTCATCGTCGACATCGTTCGTCACTGCGCACAGTCAGAAAATTCCGGATATTCTCCGGCGACCGACGGACGGCCTCGTGTAATTGCTGTCGCTATTAATGGAATCGCTATTAACACGGAATCACATTACGAAATCGCGACGTTTCACTTTATCGTGTAGGATGCACGCGCAACGTGCACGCGTGTAGGCGTATCATATCGAAGAAAGAGTGACAATAATGACAAAGTACTATACTTTCTTCTTGATGCTTTGATATTTTAACATTACTGTTTTAGTTGAAATATTTTAATATTACTGTTTTAATTTATTTGACGGTTTTATTTTAGGTTTTTCTTCGATATTGTGAAATTATTGACATCTGTTAATATTATACATATAATTGCAGTTATGAAGTATTATAAATATGACATGCTGTCTCTCGCTTCTTGAAAGTTTGAATTATTCCGTCAAAAAATTTTTCCCTAAAAAAAACTGTTAAAATTAAAATAAAATATTAAAGTTTAATTTATTGTGATATTGATTTATAATTTTATACGTTATTACAATACGTTATGAGAGATATGATATATTCTATCTCGATTCTTGAAAGTTTAAATTATAAACTAAATTTAACTAATTTGGAAGCAATATCATAAATGATTATCTTAAATTCTTCTCTATATTATTACATTAATTATATAATTAATGCTTTCAATGCTGAACGTGTTAACATGTCCGGCAAATAATATCGTGAGTGCTATGAGCGTGTTTACATGTCTGTTGAATTAGACGCGAAAGCTATGGACATGTTTACATAAAAGTAAAAAGCTCGAATAAAAAGTATTCAGCGCCACAGGTAATAGAGAATTTCGCACATTCACAACTAATTTATCAAAAGTATTCAACATTGAACGGATTAATTACATGATTTTTTTTTACTTCCATGCTTATTTCAAAAACCAACACAAGCATTTTATGAAAGCATTTTTTTCTACACATTTTAAATATATCTATAGAAAATAATTCAATTTAAAGCGATTGTTTTTTTATTATTATGTACACACGAATTCTGAGAATTTTTGTTAAAGCGAACTAAATATGTTAAATAAGCAAAAACTGTTCGAGCTGTATAAGTCGTATTATATTAGCAACACCCAGTGCCGCTCGAATAGCCTGCATTTACTTAATATTTGAATTTCATTAGATCCTAATATTTAATATAATTGTTCGAATTGTAGAATTAAAATATGTAAAAAGAGAGAAAATTTTTCTCCTCTCTAAGATTTTTAAAAATTAACAAGAGAATATACACTTTTAATTCAATGAGAATTTAGGCAAATGCGAGTGCAGTGCAGAAATTAGAGCGCGATTAATCTTAAATGTAATTTTAGTACTTAATCTTCGAACTCCGCATGTATGAAGATTAAATATTAAAATTACATTGTAAGATTAATCGCGCTCTAATTTCTGCGCTCCACTTTCATTTGTAACTAAATTCTCATTGAGAATTAAAACTGTGGATATATGTTTTTCTTCGAGGAGGTAATCACTAGCTAAAATATTGTCCCAGATTACATGATTTCATTTGATTTCATATGATTTCATCTGATTACAAATAATTTTTTTCATTACATATGAAGTGATTTGGTAAAATATACCATTTTATTTAAATATAATATTATGCAATGATTTCTCGTGGCATGTGTAATTATCGGATTATTACAGAGAGATTTCATATAAATTTTATGATTTCGAGGACTCTCCCACGATTACATAAAGTGATTATCCCCTTATTTCTCTTTGCGATATCAGGCGGTATCGATAGTTGCTTCGATGATATCGAATATCGCGATTATAGTCTTACATATTTGCACAGCGCAATCCTATTCAGGGCACACGTGCTAGTACGTGCATCGGGTGTACTTATGTTACAGCATGTTTCACAAGGATGCGTAGTACGCTGCAGCCGCAGGTGCACACAGGTGGTGCCTGCTGTGGCCGGCGTGAAAGAGAGCGGTAGGTATAATATAGCGACGTCGTGGGAAAGGATGGCGGAGGGAGGATGGAGGAGAAGACGGCCCTAGTCACATGCCGGAAAATGTCAACCACGTGCGGGTACACGAGGCGCTCTTGTTCGTTTATAATCCGCCCGACGCGACGCGCGGCGGATAAGTAAGCACGCCGTCGTCGTCGTCGTCGTAAGAGGCGCGTGATAAAAAGAATGCTTCCAGCTGTGCACGACCGCGGCTGTGCAATTCACGTGGCACTTTGCGAGAAACTGCAAGTCCACAGTCTAGTCTCTTCTCTTTTCTTATTCCCTTTTTTTGCGTCGCCCCCGTCGCCGAATGTTTTGTTCATCCTGCTTCGGAGATTTCGGTGCTCATGCAATTTCATTTGGACAGCACGCGATTATGTTCTCTCGAAATTAAACTCTCTGCATTATTATTTATTTTCTCTTCTTTTATTTTTGTCTAGAAATTTGTAACTTTCAGCTTCGTCAGCTGTCAAAATTTCGCAAGAAGTTCCGACCTTGCGTTCTTTATGATGGAGGATTATCCAGTCTCGCGAAATATCGACGATATTGACAATTTCGTCCTTGAACTTTCGTACGAACGAACGCTCAGTAAACATCCTTGTAAAATTGCGAGATTCTTGCGGAATATAATAATTTTTTGAAAAATACATTTTTTAGCCTAAAAAAGTAAAGTTGACAATATATAAATTTAAGTTGATCGATTTTATCGTCGTATTTTTGATATTGTTTATCTTCCTATTTTGATATTGTTTATATAAGATAATGTGAACATAATGTTTCTAATTTAAGAACACGATTTTTATGGATATGAAATTAGGACTTATCTCTCAAAAACAGTCGTGTCTATTAAGACAGATTTTACCATACTTTGATGAATTTTTTTTACTTAATCGCATTAAATTTTCATTGAGTAATATATTATTCAGTGTTAAGTCAATGGATGTAAGGGAAGACTCCAATTTCATACTATCTCTAAAAATAATTAAGTGATAGAATTTATGGCTGTTGCAAGCGTTTATTGAAACGTTAAAAATGTAAATAAGAAAAAAATTCTACTTTTGATCGAAGCGGATCTTGGCTTTACTGATTGTGTTAATCACTTACCTGTTTTTATTTATTAAAAATGTAAATCTGTAATTTATACATTACTCTAAAACGTAAGAACGTAGATTTAATCTATATTATGCTTTTTATCAACATAGATATCACATAGTAACAATTAACAAAAATGTAAACACTGCATGATGTTAAATCTACATTCATATTTTTCTATAATGAGAGAAAAGTTTTTGATATTTGTTGAACTATAATTATATAAATGATATCATAATTATAATTGTTATAATATTAGTAATAATAATTA